ATAGATGTTCGGTAATCGCGATTACTTCGTCAATTAACAAAACCAGGCTTACGAACGCTCGACTATCAGAAATCGATAAGTCGACTTTGTTTACGGGGACGGTCTCCGTCGATCGCCGCTTCTACCTGGTCACGTGTGCCCGCGTACTTACACAATACGGAAAGCGAAAATGAAGGGACAGAAGCGCACCGTTGCGAATACTAATTTTGCGGAGCCAGCGGGCGCCGTGGCGGGAGGAATTCAGCGAGAACCGGAGGATCGTAATCGAGTGGATTATACAGTCGATAAAGCGAGAACTTGAAAGAGTTCGACGCGGCAATGGGCATTAAAAGGCAAGAAAGCGGGCGCGTTCGCGTGTACGAGTACGCTGGCGTGCGGAGAACACCGTGGAAAACACGAGACAAGTAGAGGCTCGCAACTTTTCAAATTACGAGATAACGCGTGCACGTGATCCATTACAAGGGAACGCAAATCGATATGGAAGGCTGACAGAACGTCGCGTCGTTTCAAGACGTTTCAAGTTTCCGTGGATGCATCGGAGAGATGCGAGCGTGAAAAATGCAGAGCCGGTTAAAAATTATCGTAAATTCCGTGGAGGCTGGCCGGTCGGACCAAGCCGCGAGCCATGAATCGATCTCTTTTCCTCCGCTCTCCTCCGCTCTCCTCGCCATGTCCATCCCCTTGCAGTTCTTGGCTCAATTTTTATTCCGTGGTTACCAGCCAGTAACCTGATTAAACGCTCCATATAATTTAACGGTGGTTGCCGCTCCGCGGAATAACTCCTGTCCCAATTGGGCGTTAAAACGTAGGAATGCAAGTTGACAAGTATCCATTCCCCGGAGCGTATCAGAGATACGGCTTTATATAAACTTGCCCCGTTTCGTTCTCCCGCCTTTATCTCTATCAAACGACGATTCGTGTGAAAACGTCGGTACGGGGGGCAATCAGAAACTCGTGACAGGAATAATTAATAGCGAACGTAGGTCGTCGTATAATTGAAATACTTCGCGATGGTTTCCGAAGTAATCGCCGCCGGCTCGGCCGTGATCGAATAATTTCGAGAGATAATTGCTCGAGGCGCGAAAATCCCAGGGAATCCCAGAGAATCCGTGAAAAGTGTGGCAAGCGCGGTAGGGAATCCGAATACGACGGAGCGGCGGGAAACATTACTTTATATGTAAATTTCGCACGCGCACATAATGTTCGATGGATCATAAATTTGAATAATATCAATACATCCAACCAGGCCGCTAAATCACAGCCCCGTCAAGCTTAGGTGAGACGATTGACCGACGACGACAATCTTCTCGCTCCTAATGACGTTTCTTTCGAGGACGTTTTACGTTTTATGCGACTCGCCTGTCGCGAAAAACTTGCATTTTTATTGCAAGAAAATTGCTCGGAGCTTGCCTCCGTCAAGCTAGAACGGATGACACGGAAAAACTTAGCCGTTAAACACCTAACGTTTCTGCAACCGCCGGAAGCTTGATGAGCAAAATCATTAAAACTCTCGGACGAGGAAGCATTGAAACGAAAGGCGACCGTGGAAAATCACTCGACAAAGACACGAGATATTCACTTACAAAAAAGAAACGTTATCCTGGGAAAATTCGACGTCCTTTACGCCAAAATTCTTGGTGTAGAGGACTTTGATCACAGATGCGCCAATAAAATGACGTCGAATCGGAACCGGTTCCGGAAGTGGCGACACGTCAGCAGATTTTGACCGTTCATTCTCGCATTTCCATGAAGACCTGAATTCGCTCGACGCGCCGGAAGTCTAAGTACTCGCAGGTTTCATTGAAAAAAGGAGCAGCGAAGACGGAGCTACCTCTCGAATAGGCTAAGAAAAACTTTGCTCTTCTAATCTAACAGCCTGTGTTCAGGCTTCGCGAAAGTTGAAACTTTTTCCAACGAAAAGTAAAGAAAACGACATCATAATCGGACGGTATGTAATTTCGCCCTGTCGCGAAACGAATGCGATTAATAAATATTATTCGACGACGGGAAATCTTTAATGTTAAACGTCGACTTTACGACCAGTCGAGAAACATCGCAAACAAATCTTCGTTCGATGATCGACAGGATTCACGGAATTTCATCGAAACTTCCAAACGAACGGGACGCTGGAACCTATGATGAATTTGTGTTTACTCGCTACGCAAATAGTCGGAAATCTGATTGCATCCGCGTACCGAGTTCGACGGGGCGGAGGGACGTCTGACAATCGCAGCGTTTCTTTCAACGATACGGAAAATTTCAAGAGGATCCGAATCGATATTTCAGCTGCGGGAACGATAAACAGCGTCGCCGAGCGTGAACGTTCAACGCGAGAATTTTCCAATAAATAAACATCGTTGTTATTATCACGATTCGGAATGGTGTTCCGAGGGGAACACGAATAAACGAGGGGATCAGCGTACACCTACAGAAGTAAAAGCGGGTTAATTATGCGGGAATCAACATTTACGACACGGCATACGGTTCAATTCTCGACGCAAAGTGTGCGGTTTGCGTTGCAGAAGAACGTTCATCGTATTCCGAATGGTCGAATAAAAAATTCGATTTCTTTCGTTTAACGTTCCGTTTCTGTTTCGAATACGCGACCCTTGGTATATAATAGCGGATATATATTTAAGGGTTGACGATCGGAACACGGGACAGCAATTTTACGCGACGAACTTTCACCCCCTCCGTTTCGTCCGTGAGTTTGAAACAATAAAGTATCGATTAAGAATATAACAGAAGAACTAGGAGATCGTACCTAGAGGAAAAGTAATACGAGAGAAAGACAGTCGAAGGCGTGGGTCGAGGGAGGGAGGAAGAGAGCGGGAGAGAGGGAGTGAGAGATCAGAGGACTACGCCCAGAACTACGGCACCCCTTGAAAGTACTCCGACGTTTTCGCGCGATTCTACAGGATCTTTTGGATGAACTTTTCCGATAAAAGTTCGAAGAAAGAAGCAATATATTCGTCACTTCGAACGTATACACAATCTTGATGAGAAAAACCATTCTCGCTACGTTTTTAAGCACGAGTTCTACCAGAATCGATCGCTCGGAACAGCTTCGTTTTTGCTGAATGTTGAATTCAAATACGACGTACGCGCGTTTCCAACGGAATAAAAGCTCGACGCGAAAACAACTGTTCGAAGAGAGAAAATTGGAAACGAAAGTAACAACCGAACGATCGAACGTTCGATCATAGGTGCCGCTTTCCCGAACGCGAGCAGCGTGTAAATATTAACGGTTAATTCCATCGTCGACCATTGATAGGTCGACGAAGGGGTCGCGGTACGCGAAACAAACAGCCGCCCCTTCTTTTCGCGGCCGTTAATTCCTCTCTTTTTTAAGTCGGGACGGAGCAGGGGAAACTTACTTTGGTCCGAGCATAAAGTTCCGAAAGCTTTTAAGATTCGCGTTACAAAAGCGATCGCGCGCGCAACCATCGGTAGCAAGAAAACTCTGAAAGGGAGACCCTCGAAAGAGAACGAAGAATGCGATTATTTGTCTGTCAAACGGGAAAAGTTGTGTTTCAAAGTTCTTCCTCGTCGAAAGCCGAGAAGGGAGAGGGTGGAGAATGGGATGAGATCGGATGGGATGGTGTAGTGGCGGGGTAAGCGGGTGGGCGACGAGGGGAATGGAATAGAGAGAGTGAAAAAAGAAAAAGAGAAAAATTTAATTACACGCTTTTGCTTTCCTCGGAGAGGGGAAGCGCGTAACGACGACAACGCCCTTAAAATTATACACTCCGGTAAACTAATTAAATTAATTTACACGCACGTCCTAAACATCAATTCCCCTGTGACTGTCGCAAATATTTAACGCTGGCGGCGCGTTGTTTGTATAAACGAACCGTAACATCTCTGGCATTCATTAGTGAATAACAATCCGAGCGCAATTGCCGTCATCGTAGAAAGCGGCAGCAACGAATGCTCCCCAGCGAGTTGCAACACCGATCGGAATTCGGTTAACGAAGACACGGTGCACCGTAGGGTACACAGAAACTGAGTACTAATACGTTCCTTCCAGCGATCATGTTCGTTTCCAATAATAATCTACACCATCGCGACCCGTGGTCCGCTGGGTGCAGCGGTATTCCATCGGGTCGTCGATGTTGGCGAGGAAAGAATACATTCACAGAAAGTAGAGTGAGGCGAGGTGAAGCAAAACGAGGTGAAGCAAGACGAGATGAAGCAAGGCAAGGTAAGGCAAGGCAGGGTAAGGCAAAGCAAAGTAAGGTAGGGTAGGGTATGGCAAGGTAAATGGGAAGAGGGTAAAGTGGACTCACGTTGCTTTGCCGGCGGGTGGGCACATTGCCCGCGGGCGTCGATGAGAAGTAACGGTGAAGGACGAGCTACCGTATCCCAGGCGTCCTGTGTAGCGAGCACGAGGACTCGGTGCGCCGTGCCGATTTACCCGCAGCAGTCCCCAGTCCTCGTCGCGTGGACGTGGCGCACCCGCACATATCCCCCACGTAATCGACGTCGTCGCGGTCGTAGCGGCTGCCACCGTGACCGTCGTCGCGTCTAAGATAGTCGTGGTGGTGGTGGTCGTGAAAGGTCGCGGGTGAAAACCGGACACGCAACCGTCGCGGTCGTCGCCGTGGTCGTTGGCCAGCAGTCACAGCGGAGCCGATAGAGCGAGACGCGAGACGCGAGACGCGCGCGCGACCGGATATACCAGGCCCTCGTAGTCAGCCGAGAGTCGACCGCACTGCGGGTACGCGGCTATCGAAACGATGGACCGAGCGGCCGACCAACCAACCGGCCGGCCGGCAGTAGCGGCGGACGTAAACTCGTGACACGTTGAAAATAACGGTAGACGGCGCACCAACACACCAACACCCACCTGACGCGGAGCACTACCGGAAGATACGAATGATAACGATAATAGCGCCCGAAAAGAGATCCGGACGGCACAACAACAGCACACTGCTTTCGACGACGGGAGTAAAAACGACGAGAAGAACACGGAGAGCGAGCGACGGTTGCCTCCACGCTACCAGCCGTTCGATGGCCCGAGACCGTACGAGCGAAAAACTGCGAGATCGCCGATCGCAACAACTACCGCCAGCAGCGTCGACGTAGCCACGATCTCAGACAAGCCGGTCGCTTTCATCTTCTCTTGTTCGTTTCTCGGTAGGCACGTCATCGTCGCCGACCTCGTTTTCTTCGGGCCAACTGCTAGTGCGATCGCGCTTGTCCTTGTACCGCTTGCGTTCTGTTTACTCTGTTTGCTCGTTTTCCTCAGTCCGCTCTGTTTGCTCTGGCTATTGCTCGTGCTCGTTGTCGCGCTGAACGTCGTGGTCCGCGTTCCCAAGATCAGTTCCGTCGTCCCGATCAGGCTCGAGCTCGTTCGCGACCCGGTCGTTGTTCCGTTCGACGCGTTCGTCATGGCTCTCCGACGGAAATCCAGCATCGCGATCCGACTCGCCGCGACCGGCGGGATCCTGCAGCGGCTCCTGGCAGCCGCCAGCTCGACGACTGCGGGCTCGTGCCGCCTCCTTCTCTGTCTCCTCGTTCGCCTCCTCCTTCTCCTCGTGTCCCTTCGACGCGAACTTCCACCTTAGGTTGCGATGCGAGAGCCGCGTACCCGGCAGGATCCACCGGACTCGCGGCAACGGG